ATATATATATATATATATATGTTAGATTTGGAGCAGAATTTAACATAATAAATTTTATACATTTTATGTGTAGACGTTCAAATATCCAGATCCTGGAGCACATGCTGTGGGCATATGGATGAGAGCTGCTTATGAAGGTGTCAAATTAAAATTTGGTTATGAATTTGATGTATAAAAGAGAAAAAAATTTTTCTTTTATTTTTTCTTGTCTATTTTCGAGTCTAGTAAAATTATACAATATTATGTATAATTTTTATTGTATGTATGTGTGTACGTGCGCGCGCGTGTGTGTGAAATTTATATTATATGGATATTTTGATATGTATATATGTATGTATGTACATACATACTACATAGCACCTTTCAATTGGCAACCCGACATGCAAATGTGTAAATTTAGGTTCGCTCATGTATGTACGTGACGTATATGTGCGTGTGCTGTTAGCTGTATGAACCAATGTCGAGATTAGCTATCATAATGTCACGTGTCTCTGCCCCGACTTCATTTTTGTTTTATCACGTGAAAAGGATGAAAAAAATTAACTTCATCGTGAAGTCTTGCTGAACAAGTTACGAAGAAACAGGTAAATGACAGCTGATTCTGTATGTATGTACATACGTATTATAAAAGTATTTCGATTGAGAGGTTATGTTAGAAATTATTTCAATCTTTTTTCGCAAACTATAAATTGTAATTGCATAAATATTCAATTATATTCAGTGATTAATTTGTCAATACGTAAATTATTTTTTTAACATATTAAGAAAATAGATTAGATTAGAGACAACAAATCAGCTAGACTTTTATTCTTTTAAGGGATTCTATCGGTCAAATTAATCACACCGAATAAAATTCATGTGGATCGCATTTTGCATAAATATCTAATAATATTCCGTATAATATATAACTATTATTCACACTATTAAGTATTTTGAAAAATATAATATTACGATATTACTGTAATAAATACATGATTCTCTCTTCTCTCATTACATATTATATTACCTGTATATATATATAACCGATATAACTTGTATATGTGTACAAATTATTGAATACGTACATCATGAATGTATCTATGAAAAATATAATTTCAGGCTATTCTATTTATTTAAGCAATCTAGGATCATGTGAAGAACCATAATAAATTTTTGGATTCTCCCTTTCTGAGATAAATAAAAAAAAAAAGATTCTCGTGGAAACGTATATTTTCCAAAAGCAATGAATGCTGCAATTGCACTATGCATCTTCTGTGAAATGCATGGACCTAAAGTGATATTTACTACACAAACGTATCGTACCTATGATACACAGAACACAGAAAAACTAAAATTTTATGGACCTAAAGAAGTGTTGAGAGGTTATACTCCCTTGGAAGATGGACAAGACGAATGCGAGGGCTGTCAAAGCATTGGGAATGTTAAATATTTAAGTAATGAGCATGAAACAAGAACATCCTTTTTGTCTGCTCAGCAATCATTAATGCAAGATATTGGAAATTTGCTGAAGCATGCTTGCGTTAGGTAATATTATTGTAATGATTTTAATAGTTTTTATTTTTTACAAATTTCATACTAAAATATGAATTATTATAAAATACTTATTTTACTTATTTTATTCATAAATCATATTTAATTTGATTAAAGTTTTGTATACTAAACTAAAATTTGTATTAAATTTATATATGTATAATATCTATGATGTATAGTTTATACTTTTTAAAGCTCCTTTATTTACTGTAAATCTTTTTTTCAAGGAGTCTAAGTTGCGAAGTGCATCCTGGTAAAGAAGGTGTTTGCTACTTTGGAGATGAATACAGGGGGCATGTTTTAAGTCATACTTTTACATTGAAAGATGCCCAGGTGAATTATGCAACGAAAAAGCATGTTTGGTAGTTATTGCAACAAATTTTTCAAATCATGCCATTACTTAAAATTGCTAAAATCTAAAGATTTTATCATTTTGTTGTTTTTCTGTGTTGTACTGTTCTTATGTTAAATATATTTATTGGATAATTTATTTCTTTCCAGGCAAGAGGATTTAGAAGATGGTGTAGTTTTATTGTTTTCATGAGAGACAAGCAATTCTTGTTGAATATGTGGCCATTTTTGATTGACAATTTAAAAGAGGTAATTAGAGAATTGCAAGATTTTGCAGAGAGAAGATATAATGCTGAAGAAGCAGAATGTCCACAAAGGGCAATGAGATTGACAACAGCAAACAATGGAATGGGTTGTCATAACGCTGCTATTAAACAATCTAGAACACTTACCGATATAACAAATGAAAAGCATGTTTTTGTAAGGTAAGCGTAATTATAGTTAATCTTGCATATAAATCACGATAAAATGTCGTGCAATACTTGTATTTTAACTATCGTACACACGTGTATGTATGTTTTAGAATTCACATGTGGTTAGTATGGATCCTCAGTGCTGGTGCGAGACATTTTATAGAAATTTTCCCAATGAGTTTATTAGATGACGAACTTAATTATAATTTTGAACATCAAATTGGTTAGCAATTATAAACATTCTCTCGTCTATGATAACAATTGGTATTACAATATACCTTTTTGTTAATGGAAATCATAATGTCACAAATAATTTACAGAAACTGAAGAAGGTTTTACTTTAGTGAACGCAAAATTGCCAGTAAACTTTAATTTTAACTGGGACAACTCGGAGCTTTTGCCAGAATTTGCTGAAATCGCAGAAAGATCTACCGCTGTAATTTTACGAAATCTAAAACAAGTGCTAGGGAAAGATCAGTTCAGACAGTTACTGTATTCTTGTTTAACTGGTGTTCAAGTCTTGGTGAGAGGTCCAAAGGTTCAAAGATTAGAATCTTTGTATGGACTTAGTAGTCTTGTTCCAAGAGCATGTCGACGGGTAAAAACACAAACATTGGAATACATGGATCCTGATACATGTAACTTTATCGGTATTATACTATTCTAGAAAACATAATTACAAATGATAACCTTTAATGAAAAATATTTTCAAGTAATATTGCATTAAAATTTTTAGGTGTAGGTACCTCAGTAGCAGTTCCCCTACCTTGTGCAACTGTATGCAGATTAGACATAATACTCAATGAACACAAAGTTGGGAATGCAAAATCCCATATAGTTAAATGGGCCGGTTCTCTACCAACAAAACTTCCGACCTTGTTAACAAAAATTGAAAAATCACTCGACAATGAAAAACTTGGAAACTCAGTTCTTAAAGCACACTTTGCGACCCTTCAGGAAGAATGGGCCAAGTATGAGTCATTTACACTATTTTACAGATTATTTGTCTCACTTCTATCATATTAATTTTAAATACATCAGAGGGTCGATTGTGCATTTTGAAACGAGGTGAAAATTTTATAAAAATGAGCAAATTCACTATTGGCTAATGAAATTATAAAATATTCTAGTGAATTTGCTCTTTGACTTTTGTCATTTTCACCTTATTCCAAGATGTACAATCAACCTCCAGACTTTCTTGCGTGTAATTTGTGTTTTTCAATATTTTTTTCTCTTTACAAATATATTCATATACTATTTTAATATTTTATATATATCTCAATATTTTTATGTTATACAGCATTGCAAAAGTTGTTCACGCGATGCGTGGACGGGGCCATCGTGGTGATCTCTCTGGACTCATGCTTAGTTTGGGTGCTGGACCTCAGGACAAAAAGTTGCTAGACGCATGGTCTATGGGATTACCATCTAATCCAGCATAGTTTACAAAGATTAATTCATTTTTTGTTGCACATGTAGTATAAATATCATTGGATGTAATATTTATTGCGCATATATATATATATATATATATACTTTACTCCAATTCCTCGCATTTGTTCGAGAGGAATGCTTACTGTGTGTCCAAGGTTGTGTGTCTTTTTTATTTATGATTTATTCAAAAGTAAAAGCGAAAGCTGAATCTTAATAAATCAATTGATTGAATATAAACATGTGATTTCGCTGAATGCATACGCTGACTACGTTTACACATCATTCTTAAGGTCCATTTACAAATAATAATGAGTCGTAAGTTGTAACAAATTAACCAATCACAGTCGATTCTTCTCATAATGATTGGTACCTTTTTGTCTAATAACGAGTCAAAATAATTGTTTCATTTGTTTCACTCTTAATTCTTATAACATGTTTGATTTGTTGACTCAATCCGACTCCGAGGTCGATAGTCTGTTCTTTTTAGCTCCGTTTCTTGCACAGAAAAAAGAACAGACTATCGACTCGGAGTCGAGTTAACAAATCGAAAATGCTATTAAAGTTAGCAGTCTAGGTATTTATATACAAGTCTATGGTGACAACACGTGGCTTTTCTCATATATAAATTCTCATGCTGATAAATGTCAGTGTGTCATAGACGTCACAGTAGCTGGCTGGTGGCAGTTTAAGTGATATTTAAATACGGAGATTGAAAAGTCGTACAGAGATAAACACGAACATCAATCATGAGTATCGTTACTTGCATTGCACCGGTCAATATTGCAGTTATTAAATATTGTACGTATAGTCAATGCTCTTTATTATTTAATAAGAAATTGAATTGTTTAATAATTTGATTTTGTATGATATTTTATTATCAGCATAAATTTATGTTATGTATAAAATTGTAAATCTTTATTATATAATAAATTTAATATAATAACTTATTATTTAAAATAATAAGTCTTCGGAAAATTTGGAAAAAAGATAAGTTGCGATTAATGTATTACCAGAAAAAATATTATTGACATTTGCTTTTTAAAATTGCATGATTTATTTGAATAATAGATATAAAGCAATTATTCAAACTTACAGTTAATTTTATATCACATATATGCATACGTTTTTAAACATTTAAACACGTCAGCGTTCGTGCCACGTACACGGCACGAATATATTTGAATTTAAATAGCCATCGGCAAAAAGTAGTAAGAAAGAAACAATATCAATATGGAAATATTCTTCACGCAACTGCTCTTTATCCTCATATTTGTTTTTTAAAGTAAAAGTTAAACGTTTTAAATTTGTATAATTTTAGGGGGAAAGAGGGACGAATCCTTAATTTTACCAACTAATGATTCTATAAGTGCGACTTTAGATACAGATCAGGTAAATTTAAAATTTTTAATAAATGAAAAGGACAAAAATGGAAATATATTAAAAATATCTTGGAAATGTATTTATACTTTAATTTAGCAAGTATCTTCTTTATAGCTGCATGCAAAAACTACTGTTATGATCAGTCCTAATTTCAAAGAAGATTGTATCTGGCTGAATGGAAAGTATGTTTCAAAAAGTATAATTTTTATTATTATCCCATTCATATATGATAAAATACTGATATATTTTCAGGGAAGAAGATATAAAAAATATAAGGCTTCAAAATTGTTTAAAAGAGAGTAAGTGTTAACGCATTCCTTAGAATTTCTTAAAAATGTGTACCATAATTAAATTAAGATTTTTTTCTTAAGTTAGGAAACGTTCGCAATTATCTGATTGTACAAACAATTGGAAGATTCATATATGTTCTAAAAATAATTTTCCAACTGCTGCTGGTTTAGCTTCCAGTGCTGCAGGATATGCATGCCTTACAGCAGCATTAGCCAAGCTTTATAAAATAGAAGTATATAATTTTTTGTTTTGTATATTTAATATATTTTAAAATTATGTTGTACACATTCTCAAGTTGCATACGTGTTCTACAGGGAGAAGACATTAGTATTATAGCGCGTTCTGGTTCTGGATCAGCATGCCGTAGTGTTATGGGTGGTTTTGTAAGATGGTACATGGGTTCAAACAAGGATGGAACAGACAGTTTAGCAAAGCAAATCGTGCCTGCATCTCATTGGCCTGAAATGAGGATTTTAGTGCTGGTGGTAAGAAAAGAAACTTTTTTTTCTGCGTGTATTGATAACAAATAAAGGTAGCAGGGATACTTGGTAAATACAAATCTACAGGTTAGCGATGAACAAAAAAAGGTTCCAAGTGCAATAGGTATGAAACGAAGCATAGAAACGTCTACACTCCTGCAGTATAGAATAATGCGTGTAGTCCCAGAAAGAGCTAATAAAATGCAACAAGCGATCATTGAGAAGGATTTCAAAAGTTTCGCCGAGCTCACTATGAAAGATTCTAATCAGTTTCATGCTGTATGTCTAGATACATACCCCCCATGTATTTATATGAATAATATTTCCAACAGTATCATGAATCTTATACATTCCTATAATGATGCAGTTAACGACGTGAAGGTACATGAAATATTTTTTATACTGACATCTTTCTATAAATTACAGCACCAAAAAAAAACTAGCTAGAAATTTAGCACATTTTATTTTATTTTATTGACAAGACACGTTATTAGGTCGCTTATACGTACGACGCTGGGCCGAATGCTACATTATATTTATTAGAAAAAGATGTACCAGCAGTTATAGGTATTCTGGATCACTTCTTTCCTCCGTCTGAAAATATCGCGATCGAATATAGAAGAGGATTACCTGTAGAAGGAATTAAACCTTCGCAAGTATGTATTCCAGATATGAGATTAATTGATATTAATTATTCAGATATATATGCATTTATGAATTATTCTATATTACAAATATTACATGTAGGATCTCTTGGAGAAACTAAAGTTTCAAAAGTATCCATCAGGACAACTTAAATATATGATATGTACTAAAGTAGGAGATGGACCTAAATATCTCAATAATCCACAGGATCATTTATTAAACAATCAGGGTAATCCTATCATTAATTATTCTTAAATTTTTACAACACGTATTTTTATTATTTACTACTCTATAATCCTAAGTATATTCAAATAAATGATTTCTTTGGATTTTTTTATTTTTTTCCTAACCTTTTCCTCCTAAAATACAATTACAACGATTTGATTTGTGTAATATATATACGTAATTATATATTCATTTTTTGACTTCTATTATGATTTTATCGAAAATGTCTGAAAATGGATATAGCTACGTAGTACACATTTAAAAAATGGATGTAGTGGCGCTAGTAGTGGAATTCTGAGTTCTGACGGTCCACGTAAAAGGCCGGGATGGCTTTCTGGTACTGTTTCAGTTCTCTTTTATTTATGTGTGATTCGCGTGATAAGTTCTTGATGTTATCCTTGTTTAACTATAGTTTAATATTCAGTGAACAATAAGGATAAAATAGCAATGCGTTTCCGATCGGTAATATATATATATAATATACAGTATACACACACACACACACACACACACACACACACACACACACACCCAAAAGAATTAATCGATTTTTAATTTTCATCTGAAAACAGGATTAAAAAAGTATTATTTAAATGTTGCTTAATCATTAAATATAATTAAAAATCGTCATGTTTGTTTATAGTTAAGGCGTACACAAAACATGAAATGACTAGTATGTTTCCAATTGAACCAACAAGTGATGAAGCAATAATTAATACATATGGAATAATATTCCAAGTGTTTAATTGCACATAGATCGTCTTGATACACGTATGTTGTACAAATTGTATTTACGCTTATAGCAAGACTCGATATTACTGTGCCAAGGATAAAAATTACGTAATCTTATAAAGATTAAATTATTTGACTGTGTAGCATTATCCTAACTGTATTTCGATTCAAAGTGTGTGACTGTGAGATACAGAGTAAAAAAGTATAATATAGACGATCATGTCGTGCAAAATAGAATTTGTAAAGAATGTTTTGGAGAAAGTGGCGAAAGGCAAAGGCTTTGGTAGATGTATGAAAAATGTGAGTGCAAAAATAATTGCATTTAATTCACCAAACTGGATTAACGTGTATACATTTGTGATTTCTGAATATATAGATGAGATTGCTGTCAGCCGGCGATGGAAAATGCAAAGCACAATTCACTGTGGCTGAAGAGCATCTGAATGAGGGTGGCTTTTTACATGGTGGTTTTACTTCTACCATTATAGACTGTATATCTACGTATGCACTAATGACTCACAAAATTGAACCTCCTCCTGGTGCTTCTGTAGACCTGCATGTGACGTAAGGACTTTGATCAAATTTTTATTAAATTTTTTTTTTATTTTGTCATAATTAATCTAATTACATTTCTATACAGATAAAATTGCACTTTTGCATGACATTATTGATGTTTTCTTCTTATATATTAAATTTTGACAAATCAAATCTGCTCCATGTTGATATAAATGCATATGCATCTCTATCTCATAGATGTTGCAGTTAGCGACTAGAAATTGAATGTATTGATTTTAACCTCATAATTTTTATTAAGTAAAAAAATATGTATATAAATAAATGCTAAATACTGTACAAAATAATTATAATGGCACAGGTTTTTGAAGGCTGCATTTCCTGGTGAGATAGTGACGGTTGACGCTAAAACTGTACGTGCTGGGAAGAATTTGGCTTTCCTCATGGTGGAGCTCACAAAGAACGATGGTAAGGATGTCGTTGCCCATGGGCAACAGACAAAGTATCTTGGACTAATTAGTCAATGAAGTTAGGAATTATTAGTTTGATTCGTAAAAATGTACATAATGTACATACATGAAATAAAGAGTAGAGTATACTAATATAATATTTATATTTAGGTATGTATCTTAACGCGCATTTCTTTACTGAGTTTTAATATAAAAATTGTTTAAGCTTTGCTGTGACACATATACGCAATTCGGCCTATATATTCGCGTCATATATATGTGCGATAGCTGCGTTAACTTAAAAGAAAGGCAATGATTGCACAAAGCACTTCTGCGCAGAATGCTTCTATTTACAATAACAAATACATAAAGAATATGGCATATGCTATAAATGTAAGAGCATGACTATTTGCAATAGAGAAAGAAAGGACGAAGCCTTGTACACACTTTATTTCTCTATTGTCGTGCTTTAATGTCTTTCAAAAATGCTTCGAGTTCTTTTACTTTTCGCGACAAATCATCAGCCTGTTCTCGCAACCTCTTAGCCTCTCGATTACTTTCTTCAAACATCCTTTGCAAGTATTTAACTTTCTCGTCATGGTTCAACAAATCCATGTCTTTGACGTAATCGTGACTGGGTGCAAAATATTTCTGAGCTTCTCTGCGCACGCGAGAGATAGTACTGTCACGATCTTGGCAATTGTCGCAACAATCGGACCAGGCGCTCAAGTCTACGTAAGGAATCTCGTCACAACTGACAAAATCGTTACGACCTTCGGACGACAGGAGAAACACGTTGGGTTGCACGCGAGTAATGTTGTCGCCGTTGTCACACAAGATTCTGGCTAGCGACACTTGCTGGATTTGTGCGAGCTGTTCCGCGCGAAAGACGCTCGGATTTTCATACCAGAGCCGATCGCCGTCCCGGGTTCGCCGGAATTGCTCCAATAGAAGACATTTGAACAGCGGTCCGACTTTCATCCCCGGCAACTGATCCTCGAGAATACCACCAACCCAGACGTCTATATTGCCTGGGTGGCCATACAATTCGCGCAGCTTCTGCCGCACTCGACCGCTGTTGATATCGTTAGCCAAATGTTCGAACGTTTCCACGCGCGACATGTTGCAATAATCGCGCCACTCTAGATAGCCGGGAAGCCCGTGATCTCTTCCTCGCTGGATATTCATCGCCGCCAAGTCCAGCGCAACCGCGTGTGCGGTACGGAACAACTGCTCGGTGAGCTCAACATTGAGATTCTGTTCGGGCAGCTTCAGTTTCGCCGCCGTGGCGTACATACCCCGGATCAGCGGATCGACGCCACCTTCCTCCACTAGTCGCCAGGGCGCAAAAAAGGCATCTCGCAGATCGAGAGGACCTTGAGGAATCGGTTGGAAGGACGCGTTCAGGCGCTGTAGACGTGGCTGAATGAGCGAATGACCAAAACGCAAAGCGGCGGTAGCGAAAACGTTGGATATGCTGGCGTCGATATTGAGATCGTAGCCTCGGTACGACGACAAAAAGTCGTCGATCGCCGGTCCAAATATCCGCGGCAACCAGTGCCGATAAGTGATGTGCTGCATCTCGGCGCCGACGATACGTCTCGCTTCCTGATATAGCTTCTCGCCGTTCCAGTGTGGATTCATCTCGCGTAGCGCGCGAGCGATGCGGTTGTGCTCGCGCAGCCATATGGTATGCATGGCTAGCAGGCCGACTTGCTCGTTGGCGCGAATGTCACCGGCTACAAAGCAATTGATCGAACTCTCCAGTGGATTCCTACGACAGTCGACAAACTGGCCGGACGCATAGGGCAGTAGAGGCTTGTGACCGGGAAGCGTGGGACCTTCCCGGAGCAATCCACGATCCGTCGTGAGATCGCGCAGATCGTGCGCCAACTCGTCGTCGTAGCCATAGACTTGCGATGCGTCCAGGTAGCTAGTGAGCTGATTCAGCTGTTCCCGAGGTGTCAGGTTGCCCCCCCATAGTATACTAGTCGCGCCGGAACCGCAGACGGCGCTGCTTCTGACAAAGTCGATACAACGCCTGTTGCTGATGCGCGGATCACCTGGCGGCACTTCCATCGGGAAGCAAGGCGCGGCGTTGTCGCAAGACTTTTTGCAATCTATTCCATCCCACGATTCGCTCGACACCGACGGTAACGCGTGATCGAGATCATGATCTAGAAACTGACCCCACTGCATCACCATGTGGGTGATCTGTTCATCCGACGTAATGTCGTGGGTTGAGATGAGCGTGGTCGACACGAGGCGTGCAGCGGGCTTCGGATAACCGTAGTAGCGTCGTCCTTTCTCCCAACCGATTGGCATCGAGAAACCATTCTCGTAGACAGGATGTAGTACTCTTCGGAATCCCGTATGTGATGAGCCCCAAGTAGGATGGCGCAGATTATTGCAACTGCCGTCTATGGTCCGATATTTGTGATGGAAACATCTATTGGTGCAATTCTGCCGACGTCTATGACCGGTGCATCCCGACAATCGTTCGATTTCTTGGACCTGAAACGGGATGCGCATTTATAATTTGAGGATATAACGCTTTATATATTATCGCATATATTTGGCTTTACTCAATTTTACCTGTTCAGGTGTTAAGATTTCCTCGTAACGAAATTCATCAGTGACGTTTGCCTTACTGCCGGCATCCACCATACGTCGGATGTTGACGAGAGTCCTCTCGAAGAGCTCGGCGGGTCTAGCAGCTGCGCGTCCAATCGCGTTCGGAAATCGTGCCAGCCGGAACGGATTAACGTGTTTGGATGAGCCGTCGGGATTAAAGAGAGACGACAGCGTCTTATTAATGGCACGATCGATCTCCTCGGTGGCACTTTGAAAAGCTCGTATGACGAGAGTATCCGTTGCACCGGGCTGCCGAACGCGCACCAAAGCATCGGCGGTTGCGCGGCCGTAATCGTTTATAGCCGAACACTCGTATCTATCGAATAAAAACGATTATTGTTCAGGAGGCAGATTGATGACAATTCAATATTAGTTTTTATCATCGTATTAAACTTCTTATTAAATTTCAGCAAATATATATGTATATGTATATATATTTGCTGTATCAACATTATTAACTTGGTGATTCTATCAAATCTTTGAAAAAGTTTATTATAGGACTACGTTGAAAATATTTATTAAAAGAAATTTAATAAGAAGTTTAGATATATTGTACAATATGTGCATTGAGTTTTATGTAATTAAATTACTAATTATTCTTTTCTTTTTTCTAAGACCAACGCGATCAAGGTCGTGTTATTCCAATCTTACCTTCCTGAATCTTGCGGAGTCACGTTAAAAATAAGAAGACTTCCCCCACGCGTGATCTTGACTCTGTTGCCCTCGAGCGCACTACCGTCCTTCTTCCATTGTATCACTGGCTTCGGGATGCCCTCGGCCCGACAAGGTATTTCGACGGTGGCATCCGGTTCCGCCTCCATGTCGTGCGGTCTGAAGAGTAATCGGGGCGCCGTCAAGTTGACGACACTCAAGTTCGCGAAGAGATGGACCGTATGATCGATACTCCTGAGATAACAATCGTATTTGCCCGCGTCAGTTTCCTTAACCGCGAGGATACGTAGTAAAGTGCCGTCGTTCTCGAGCGAAATTCTGTCGCTAAAGGGAATCGATTGGTCATTTCGAAACCAGCGAACATCAGGTCTGGGATTACCCAACGCTCGGCAGGAGAAGGTCACATTAACACCAACGCTCACGTTCTGCGATTCCGGTCTTTCGGCGAGTATTAACTGAGATGCCGCCGTAATCACCGTTCTGGCCTTTCTGGATTTGGTCGAGCCCATATCACTGCTGGCTACGCACTCGTACATTCCACTGTCCTGCTCGGTCGTGTCAGAAATCACCAAGGTGCCGTCTTCGCGGATTACATATTTCTCGCCATCCTCGTGGATCACGTACTTTTCGTTATCGTAACCCGCCTCCCACGAGTATCTCCATTTATTCTTCATCCACTTGATCTTTGGCGTTGGATCACCCGTTACTCGGCACGTCAACGTCATCGTGTCACCATGTCGCACTGCAGTGTCTTCCGGACCCTCTATAATACGCGGTTTTGCTGCGAAAGGAAAAGAAAAGTCTCTTGTCGCAGTATGACTGAGATATTATTGAAGAAAAATTCGATAAATTAATATGAGATTATTTTCTCTCCTTTCTTTTTTTACATCTTTTTTAATCCTAATATGTTATCGCGCGTTATCTATCTGTTTTACCTGATTCTGGCCATTGCGAGCTTTCATATCTTAATACGATTAATAACAAGAAGGAACATGATTTTATATATAAAAAATTCTAAATAATTCTCTATATACAAATTAATTATTATAGTAATATACGTATATATGTATATAGCTTCGGAGTCGCTCCGTCAATTCAAAAGCGCAGTTCTCGAATCAATTTGTAACAGAGTCAATTGAATGAAATGGAAACTTCGATTTAATAATTTTTCGGTGAAGGATCGCGCTATATATCTAGATAGACGGACCATCTTAGTAAGAGGCATCGTCACGCGAGATCCGCGAGATACAACAGCGCGATGACCGCGATGTCAACGATCCCGACGTAATCAGCATCAAATCGATCTTGCAATTTGCATCAGTGGTAATGTCGAAATTATGTGATCTATACATACGTAATTGATACATGTAATATATAATAAACGAAAAGTGAAAAATAAACTACTCCATAGCGAAACTTGTTATAATAATGGCTAAAAATCTACATGAGATACAGTATTAGCTCATTTTTGTTTTTTAAAAATAAGATATTCGAACATGAAAAATTTCAGTAGCCTGGTGAGTAAAGAAAGAAAAATCAATAGCGTACTACCTAATGTTATCTTGCAGTCAGGTTACAGTACGTAATGTACAAAGATAAAAATTTCTTTCTCTTTCGATCGTGTTGAGAATCGATCGAGTCAATCTAGTCTATTGGATGATAAATCGCGCGCGCACGCGGTGTTTCCTCTCGGTGTTTCTACTCAACTGCAATGAAAGTCCTCGGGCAACATCGTTGTTAGGGAGCGACCCTTCATCTTGTGCGGGGATTGGCAAATCGCCGCCATCTCCGTAGGCTTGTCCCGCAGGCGTTCGACCAGCCAGACCAGATTGCAGTCGCAGATGAGCGCGTTGCTGTCGAGACGCAGTCGCGTCATCGGACCGACGTTGACGAACGCGTCCGCTGGCAGCCGATGAAGTTTATTGCTGTGCAGAAACAGCCGCTCGAGTGCCGGCAGATCGTTGAACGTGCCCGGTCGGATCTCCCGCAAATGGTTGTGATGCAGGTACAACTGCTCAAGCCGTGACAGCCCCGCGAACGCGCCTGGTGCGATGTGCTCGATGCGATTTTTGTACAAGTAGAGTATCCGTAGATTCGGTGCGCCCTCGAATGCACCCACCGGCAGCCGTCGAATGTGGTTGTCGTTTAATAGCAGGGTGTACAATTTGTCGAGTCCGTGAAACGATCCTGCACGCACTTCTGCGATGTTGTTAAATCGGAGATCTCTGAAAGAATTTCGAATCTAGAGATGAGCGGGAGATAAGAAGAATCAAGATTTTTGTTCTTTAGATATCGCGGACGAGCCATACTTTATTAACAATTAAACATGAATGTTATTAATGTTAATGATAAATATTTATTACAATAGGAAAAATATACTACAATGTATTAGAGATTTACATTGTAACATGATAAACGCGTGATTACTTATTTCGTATAATACGAATATCATGTACGATTTAAATTGAAGATCAAATCATGTTTCGATACTGCCTTCTACGCTAAATATGAAATATACCTGAATATATCTCAACAGAATTTCTAAACTGTGAACGAGAACTCTAATATATACCTAGTATTCTTGAGTAGCTATAGACCTATCCGCCCACTCGTTTAATGAAATAAGCGAATAAAGTTATAAACACTACTCGAAATATAAGAGACGAAGTAAATAACAATTATTGATTGATAAACAGAGTAATATATTTATTAGGGTGAACAGAAATCTCTCGATTAGTGAATTAGATTTGTGAAAATCTGATTCGAGATTTACGCATGTGAATTTGTATCGAAAAGTTATTGGTGAGTTAAAATATATGTTATTAAGTACTTTCACGTACGTATGTCAGTAAGGAAATTAGTGCGAGTATATCATGCATCTAACAATAAGTATCGTAACTTGACTTATTATTATAAGTTGCATGGTTTAATAATTCCCCAAAAATTCATTGAACTCCTAAAACATATTGCACAACCAAATAATCACGCGCCAAAGATATTCCACTAGTTATTAGGCACAAAGCTTCTTTAATTATCAATTTCGAATTATTGTGTATTACTTTTTTTCTATTTAAATTACTGGCTCGAGTTCTCGTGCCCAACTCGACGCTATTTCAGTCTTCTTATCGTATGTACAAGTGAATCGTCCCACCCGCGCCGTCCGTATGAAAAAAAAGGAAGAATTCGATTTGTAACTTTTGGAAGTTTTTCACAATGCGATAGTCTTTTGTGTTTTTCTATAAATTATATGAATATATGCAACGTTGAATAACAGCTATATAATTAATATACAGATTAATATAAATGTTTACATTACGTTTTATATAATACTTTTTATACATATACATATGGCAATTAGTCAGTTAAGAAATTGTAGTGCCATTTAATAAATTATGAAAGAAAGCGATTCCAGTAATCAGCTCTAGTTCCTTCACTCTGACACAATTAAATTACTCTACAGAGAATATAATTTCACATTTCACGGTAGTTAAATACTTTAAACGCGGCCTCAATAAAACATCGCATTAATGTTGACGACATCAGTTATGAAATTTGGAGCGTCACGAGAAATATATAAGTATACATATAATCTGAAAAGCAGAAGAAAGCAAATTTAAAATTATTAGTGTATTGATTATTTAGATATTTATTTCTTTAATTTAACTTAGCATACTTTTTATAAATTTTCGTAAATTCCCGGAAAGAACTGATTCTTAATTGTTGCACCTTTTTGCTTTTTTCGTATATTTATACATATTTGACGTCATATTATTTTTAACGTCAGTCATCGCGTACGACCACTTTGATCGTTTTCCATTGATAGAAATGTGTATCGATGCATACAAACATCGATGATTTATTCAATGCTGCGAGAGGACTAATATTAATAACTGAGATCGCAAGTGAATTAACGGCATTAATAGTAGCGGGTGAAGCAAACACATGAGAATGATTCCGGGAAGACGATCCGGTCTTTTCTGAGCTATATTCAACTCGATCACGAATATCGGATTTCATTGAAGCTGCGGTCTCGCCGTTTGATTCATCAAGCTGCACGAATATTTACAATTATAACGATGATATAATGTAATAACTATAGTGGAATATATATCTTTGTCGTGGCGCGTAAATTATTTGGTTGTGCAATGTGTTTTAGGAGTTCGATGAATTTTTGGGAAACTATTAAACCTGCATCTAATTATAACAATAAGTCAAATTACGACACTTACAATTAGATGCATAATATACTCGCACTGATTTCTTTACTAACATATTATACATAATAAATATATGTGTACATAATTTTATATATATAGTATTAAATATTTCTAACATTGAAAAAAAAAAAAAAAGAAATTTGTTCTTATGTGTCATCGAAATATTGAGAATTACTGACACTCAACACATTTATGTATTTAATTGATATACAATTGAATAAATAATTGATAATAGATAACTACATTGTGTAAATATTGATAAGTACATCAGATCGTAGATGGTTTACTCAAGCAAGTATAATTTCTGACTTGCTTTACACGGAGTCGTAATTTTTTGTGCACACTATTTTACATGTAATCGACGATTATATTATAGTATGTAGCACAAAAGTCATTATCTCGACGAATATCGGTATCGCGACACAAGCATACATATATTTCATATACAAAGTCAACAAAACTCTAGACAGATACTAAAAGATAATCGATATTCAAGTCAATGTCCTGATGGATGTTTCATTGATCATCGAGCAAAGATGATTACTTATTTCTTTTATTTTATAATTGTAAAGGATCGTAAACAATAATTATTTGTTAAATGTCGCGATTTTTAACAGCGATTTATATTTCAAGTCACAAAGATAAACAGAGTTAATTGCACTTATCGCTGATTCACAGAATCGCAAACTGATTTGCCAATGTTTGCCATGCCATTCCGTTTTTGCCGAGATTTTGCGCAACACAACTTACAACAAAAGTGATAAAGAACATGTATATTCTTCATACAGATTGCAGAAAATCATTTTATTTTTTTCAACAAGCACATCGAAATTTATGGATAGATACTTATATGGCATTGATGATACATATCAGCGCGAGATAAATCGAGGTGAAATGATAATATACAGTTGATCATCCATATGAGATATCACATTATTGTTTTCTTAATTGAAGTATTAAATATTTTTTTTGGATACGCGCTTCTCGAGGTAGCGGAGTCCTTGACGAAGTCGATTTGATATAAATATCGCTCTTTCATCAGAAAAGGCGTATTCATAATTAATGCTGATGCTAATTTTTTTTAATAAAAAAAAAGAAAAATTCTTTTTAAAATGTAAGGATGACATAATTATCTGCAATGAAAGCTTAGGTTGATCAGATCAGACATTCATATTTAGCCGACTGTTGAAAATGTCATTCGTATTTCGCGTCTCTATAGTTTATGTGATTATCTAATTGGTCATAATTATATTTTCAATTCATGTGATGTATCGTAATTGCCTGCAGTATATAAATTTGGTTTATATAAAAATAGAGGTAAATTCCATTGATTGATCTTTTTACAAAAAAATTATCTAATTGTGAGTATACTAAACGTAAAATGAATATATATAGTCATATTATGTCACTGCATCAAAAATATCGGATTAAACAAGTCCTTGGCTTCACGCGCGTATTTTACTCCATTCTTCTTCTGTCCTTCATTTCTTTCTCTGAAACTCCACTTTAACATCGCGTCGTAACTTATATATAGTTTTAAGTAGTCGGCGATCTTCGGTTTTGTTGATCTACTTTGCTTCAAATCGATAACTTACACATTTGTTCACCAAAATAGATTTCCATTTTGAATTGCTATGATTTTTACCGCGGTTATTACAATATAGCTAACTCTCTTTAGAGCATATTTCCAGTATTAAGAAATTCTTTTTATTCGAGATCTATTGCAGATAATTTGCAGATCGATTACAAAGCAATTATAATTATTATTAACTTCTATTAATTATAATTTATAATACAATGAATTCTTGAAACAATTTAAGTTTCTCTTATACCGCTGAAACATGACATCATTCTTTCCTTTGAATGATACTGTAAAAAATACTGCACGATTGCATTTTCCGCATGTGAAAGAGCGCTTAGCGACCTTCTTAACTGATTATGCATCTCGATTAGTATCGCCTTCCTATAAACGGGTATGTGCTTTACGCACTTTCTCTTGACCTTTCGTCATTCACCATAAGTCCACCTACGTTGATTGGTTATCAAGCAACAATGATTACACGTTTTTCTCGTATAATTATAAGTATCGAACTAAATAAGTTCATACGCATAGGAAAATTTCAAAGAATATTTTATGTAACGGGTTGCGTATGACCAAAATTTCGAATGATATTAAATTAAAATAATTATCGTTTTACAAAGAAAATAGATGACTTACAGGACAGTGATATTAGCGGGCACTCGTGGTACTTGGATCAGTTTTAGGAACATGCATCGCACTTGCATCGTGTTGTTGTAGCACACGCATTTCTGTGGGCATTCTACCGTTGCTCCAGCAGCCGTCGCGAATAGGAGCAGCGTCCAGACCAACAGGTCCATGATCCGCCTCATGTCCTTCGCTTGATCGTCGCGATATTCGATAGATGATATCCACAGTAGGAGGAGTAGTCTTTACGTCGTGTTGTGCGGCACCACGTGGAGTTTGTCAGATGTGCGTGCACTTGCGCGCACACACACACAATCTCTCTCTTTCTCTCTCTCTCTCTCTCTCTTTTTTGAATACTTTCACCGCATCAGTCACAGGATCAATGAGAATCCGGTCGGACGGGAGTCGATATCGAGCGGGAGAAACACCACTGTCGGGATCGAGAGTCAGGACGCGTTCCGTGGCGTGAGACAAAAGAGAGGAAAGGAAACGCGCCGCCACGGCTGGCCACGGCTGCCCGTCCAGTCCCCGAGCAGCAGCAATCACTACTGTAGCACTACTCGACTGGTGCTTGCGTCGGGAGTCGGGAGTCGGGACCCGTTCAGAGAGAGGGTCCATCGCTTCGTGCGGGAGTACATACATACAAAAGACTTCCCCGAACACGAGACTCTCTCTCTCCGCTTTCCTCCCTCCGTGTCGCCGTACCGTCGAGGCACGTCGTTGAACGAGCGCTACGAGTCCAAGAGTACCTACGAGAAGTATTACACAAAATAGGGGTACTCGCGGACCTCGTGGTGTTTCCATATTAATGATGGTTATCGCGGTGCCGACACGACTCGCTTTCCAAGTAACGAGATATTCCTGCACAATCGTGAGCGAAGCGCCCATGAGAGCTTAAGTCTTAAGTATGATTTAAAATTCAAAAGTATAGAACAATCATATAGCTTTATAAAAATCGAAAAAGAAAATATTGAAATTAATCTTCTTGCACTTTTGCGGTTTTATTTATGTAGCAAATCCTCGTGTCGCTCGATTGAGACATATCTTTAATTTTTAATAGTATCGATTTAGATAGCATCAATATTTTGCTTTTAATAATGACAAGTTCCCAATTGCTGTATATCTTGCTTTAGATTATATAGGTCTCAATCGATATTACCGATCTAGAATAATTTTTAATATCAACATGTAATTTGCTTAACTGGCAAATTTGGTATTACTATGATTTTGATACTTTATACAAAAATTGTAATGCATTAATTAACTTTGCATCGATACTTTCCTTTCTTTCTGATTTTTCTATATTTTTTAAATGCTGATATTAACATGACATATAAATTCTAGTTTGGATAAGATTTTATAAAAACATATTTCTCTCTCGGATTTTGCTTTGGCTCGCAGTAATGTGTATCCAGATAATCTTAAGATGATTATTATTTCATACGTATGCTTACTGGCACTGTGGCGAATATAGGCAGAACAAGTGGACCATGAATAGGCGTGTGCACGTTTCCAGTACACCTGAACATGCGTAGAGTAGCGTAGATTACATTTGCGTAGACGTAATATTTGTGAACGTTTTGTTTAAATTATCGGGTGCCACATTTGCCACATTGCTCACAGTTCACTATGCATACGATGAAACGCGAGAAGGGTGGGAAGTAGCGAATGGATGCATCAGTGGCTTACTATTGCTGTTTATATTTAGCCCATGTAAGAACGGTGGTGCTTAAGTTTATGCATTTATGTGTGTTGAGTTGCCCGAGCAAATTGGCGATATTACGACAAAACCTAGCGAGACGTAGCGAGACCAACCGCGATTGCTCGTGGCGATTCAAGCCAAACAAACGCTCTGGTACATATGTATATTAAATTAAAAATATACAAGGATCACAATATATCAATTTAATGTATCTCGAAATATGGCTCACCTCTTTTTACCGTTGTTTTTTTTTTGTTATTGTTGGGTGTTTATAACAAATAAAAAAAGAGCTAAGACTTTTGTAAGCTTTAAATATCTATTTACGAAAATTATTGAAATTATTCTCTTTGTTACTTACGTAGTTATAAATTTATAAAGTTTTTTTTGGAATTGTATGTATAATGTACGCGTGAGAGTAATGCACCAGCGCGTAACCAACCATCGGCAGCAGGCATAACCGTTGTGTAAAGATAACGGTACTTAATTGAACTGATGGTTTAGTGAATACCGTGAGAAGGCGATCTAGTTTATAAATAGCACAGCGAGGTATTGATGCTTGTATCGTTATTATTTTCTAGATCTATCGTCTGGTATTATCGATCTTACAATTTTATTGTCATCTGTATCGTTGTGTATCTCGCTTTAATCGCTTGCCTCCAAATTAGATAATATATAATTTAGACCATATTAAATTTAAAAGAAAATCATAAATGTGAAGAAAATTATTTTACATAAACATATTATGAAAAATTGAGGAAAAAGTTATTCGATAGTAGAAGAAATAGAAACAAGTGTTCTTTCATTCATAACGCGGCGCGGTCTCTCAAGAAGGCAAACGAGAATTATATAGAGAAGTCGTTGTCGCTTTGTCATTCAACACGGCTGTATATACACGGAGAACAATACACAGGTGAATGACGCACGTAACCAAGAATATTAAATGAGAGAGAGAGAGAGAGAATATTTAGATATTGAATCACTATATAAAGGAAAAATCGGATGGAGAGAGAATCATAATACTTGTTTTAAGATTATGCATATAGATATGTACGATAATATTGTATCGAATCATTAAACGTATGTGCATTGCTTTATTATTATCTAGATATTGTTTAAACGCGCATCAAACATTAATGTCCACACGCATCCAGGAATATTCGAATTTTACTTGTTTGATACCGGTTTTGCAGAGCAACAATTAACTGCATATATAAATATATTAACATAATCGATATGAAGAATATAAAGAAAGGAATAACAATATGTATGTATACAGTTTTTCATTATAAGCATTTTATCGTACGTTCGAAATACACAAAGTAAGAAAACACTACTAAAAAAATCACTATATGTATATCTGCATAGAAAATTGCTTTTAATTATTCAACATTTTCTGAATTTTTGTCTTCCTTATACTTTGCCAACAATTCATAGAGATATATTTTTATTGATTCAAATGCTAATTTTATTTTACAGTATCGGCAATTTTACGTTTCTTATTACTTTGTGCGAAAAGAATGCATCCTTATTCCTTATTATAAAAGAAAAGGGACAAAATACATAATATCGACGTGAACTTGTAGACGGCACTGTGACAGCACCGAGATACGCGCTTTAGATTAGACTTTATGCTCCAGGCGTCCTGTATACGTCGGCTATAAAATTGTGCGGACGAAAATTCGTTGACCTTATTCTTTCAATGACTGCACTCTTAAATTCGTATACGCGATAAAAAATGCGACAATCGATATGACACTACTCGATTTAACATTTTCCTTATCATATGAAAAAAATATTGTGGCATGTACTCGTTAATTAAATTAATTAAATTAATTCTTATCACTCCTTATCGTTCTTTCTAATTAAAATCTATATAAATTGTAGCTAAATATTTTGATCAACATTACATAAAGATTAATATATTATTGGAATATTCTCTGCAAATTGTATTCTTTAAACGCGATATAACATTTTTTTCACATTTTTTACTACTGTTTATCTCATTAATACACACACGCATAAAAGTCATTACGGTTCAACTTAATTCTTTTGCCAGATAACTGAAATTGCTTGGAATGCTTGTCATCTATATTCATGGCGTATTCGCAATGATAATATCGCGTTACCTAAAATGGTAGATGCGTAATCCCGAGTGGGCGCTGACACGAAATATAGCGGATGAAATTTCCTAAGCAAGTCACGAGTGAGTCGAAGAGAGTCTCGACGGGATAGATTATTTTCTAGATCGCGATTATCGAAAAATGATAATACCTATAATCTGTATATAATTCCCTTATATATAAGGAAATTACTTACAATAATATTTATTATTTACTGTCAAGAAAATAAAAGAAATACTGATTCGAAAATAGGGATGGCTATATCGTGCATCGATGCTGAAGATTGTTTGAGATTTCATCCGCTATATTAAATTGGATGAGAAATCAAAGAACTTCTATGTGGAGCTCAGTAGCTCCATTAGTAGCATTGTCACGCTGCGATTTTTAATTCCTCAATACTTAATCAATTGAAATATGTAAAATTGAATGCAATCAATCAGATATGTTATTTTTACGAGAAGAAATAACAGATGACAGAGTAACAAGAAGAATGCGTTTACAACTACATCAAAGTCTGAATTATATGCATAATTTGTTTTTGCTATTTTCGGAGATTTCTTGTGATCTGTTTTTAGGCTGCAGAACGCATTCGTTTGTCACGGATTCACCGCGAGATTTCCGCTCTGCATTCTTACCGTCTCTATTTCCGCTCGTCCTTGTATCGCTGCATCGTGTTTGCAGATGTGCGAAGGGGCATTATTATAGATATCATCAGCGCCGTAATTTGTATCGCGATATCGAATATCGATTGCGTAATAAATCATAATAATGTAACACGATGTCAGATTGCAGAATCGATCTCGCGTTAACTCTCAACTGTATAGGAAGCAATTATTGTGTTATATAACTGCAATATATGTATGTGTATCAGTTGAAGAGCGCAAATGAGCTTTTAGACGCACTGGACAAGGTTAATCGCAATCTTCCTGTATGCCTTTATGATGGAAATCGCTGAATAGAATCGAAATCACCTTGCACTAAGGACAGACCTAATGTGCCTACAGTTTTTCAAAGGTTGAAGGGGAAACAAGGTCGATAATATTTCTGTATTATGCGTAATACGCTAAATGTGTACGTTTTGTGTATTGAATAGAGTTATATATAATATATATGTAAGTAAATGCAAATAAATGTACAGAAAAGAAACGATTCTTGATATGTGCTCAAAATATGCATATAACTACTGTAATATTATAAAAAATAATTTTACGTATATAGTCTATATTTAAAAAAAAAAA